TCAGCTTTTCTCTCTTCAGTTTGCCTATACTGACCCTTGCTCCTCTGCAGTTGTGCTCCCATTCTGTTTTTTTTCACAGTGCTCCCTTCACCTGAACATCCACTGTGTCACACATCCCCACACTGACTCCCATCCCACTCATCCTCTGCGAAGGATGTGAGCTTGTGCATCAGCTTTCTGGAGGTTGTCTTAATTTTGGTCACTAATAAAGAGGAGGATAAGGAAAATGAGTCAAGTGACAGAGCTTCTACTCACCAACGAAAACTTCTTTTGAGGCCCAAAATCAGTCATCAGCTTGTTCCTCGTGTTCACTTTCAGGACATCACCAGTTGATGTGCCAACGTAAAAGTAATTATCATCATCTGCTATCTAGAAGGAAGAGTGAAAAAAGAGATGGTGGTCCAGATACTGAGGCTCCTGTCCCATCCTACCTCTGTGCTGCATAAACAGCTTTATTTCAGCACATTGCCAGGATTTACCCTGAGGGCACACAGCCAGTGCTCTCACGTCAGCATTCACGAGGGTCTGTGTAAAATGTTTTCCAACCAAATACTTTGAAGCAAAAGTTGAATTCTCTTGAGTCTCTGACTAAAGTGCACGCTGCTTCCTTTCAGAAGCATTCAAAAGACTTTTCCCAAGGTAAAGAACCTGTGGAAGACCATCTGCCAAGAGCCAACGTGTAGCAACCACAGTGCCATCATGTAGTTATAATTGGCATTTTTAGCATCACGATAAAAGCTCAGAGCCTCTCTCTACCCTGCAGAGAGCTGCTCAGTTCAGCCAAATCGTTTTGGCTGATGCTCACCTTAAGGCTTGTGATCACCCTTCTCAGTTGCCCTGTCTGGCATTCAGTTGGTCGGAGTTTTCTGTTTGGTAGATCCAATTCCCATACTCGAATGGTCTCACTTGAAAAAAAGCATAGAGGAAAGCCAAATCCGTGTGTGGAATTGATGCCAGAAATATCTCAGCTCAATCACTTTTAGGAGAATGAAACAACGTTTATAAGGTTATATTATTCTGAAATCCTGATCAGGAGGGAAAAGAGCAGTGCCAGGGAGGCCAGAAGCAATCCTTTGTCTTTTCCACTGTCTCTTATGGTAACTTTTTTTCCAGATGAGTCAAAAATGTTAAAGGCTCAGCAAAAATTCATACTAGAATTATGGGGAAGGCATGTAATAACCTGGATATTAATTCCCCAAGGAGACGTGCACCGTGGGAACCCTGCTTCTGAGAGCAGGAAATGAGCAGCACCAGACACTTTCAACTATTTTCCAGCATAGTTTGATTGACAACCAAGAGCCAACACAGTACCCTAACACAGTCACCCTTGTATTTCACAGAGCGTTACAACTGCAAAGACCAACACTTTTAGTGCAACTGCAGCCAAGGGCATCGAAGCCTTTTGCTGATTTAAAGGGAACTGCAGGACCTGGGCAGGTTTAAAAGTCAGGTTAGATACATGGGGGCTGTCTCAAATCCATGGGAAATGTGACTTTTTGTAACAATTTGTGTTAAAGGCCAGAGACCAATTGTACATTGCATCTGCCAAGGACAGCAGAAGATCCAGCAATTCACAGGACATCATTCTCCTTACATTAATAAGGCACTGCCTGGAGCTGTTCACTGCCTGCTTTTCTTGTGTAAACACTGGGAACTAAATATTTTAAGGACTGCAGAGGTTTCCTCTGAGCAAAAATCCCACCATAAAAAACAGGAATTAAGCATGCTGGTCCATGTGTGCTGCTTTGTGTGGAACCAGGAGAAATGCTTTAAAGAGACAAGCTGCTGGTTATTCATGAGCCCATTGAGATGAGAATTGAAAAAAACCCAAAACCACGAGCACAGTGATGTTTAATATTCCTCCTATTTAAGGAAAGGCTCTGAAAAAGGAGATGGGTCTGTGGGTTTTTTCCTCACAAGGGGTCTTGTAGTAAATACAGCCTTACACTCCAGCAGTGATGAACATCTCGTCTCTGCATGCAGAGCACTGCACGATGGTGACGTTGCCCGCGCTCCGAGCCGAGGCAGGGCTCCCACAGACAGCCTCTCTTCTTGGGACATCCCACACAACCACGCTGCAAGGAAGGAAGGGCTTTAAAATACTGTGCTTTTTAATGCTACTTAAAAACTTACCAGAAAAAAGAAAGAAAAAAAAAA